TTTCAAAACTACAGCCCTTTAAGAAGAATCTTGTCTGCCATCTGCTGGACACTTTTTGTTGTGCTCATATTTAGACGTCCTATTTTGCAAATGCTGCTTTCTTGAAATTTGGTATGCTTGTTTGTCTTTGTGTCTATGGTGTATAATGATGTGATTGTGATGCTGTTTTTCTGAGTGTTTATGTGCTGCAGAACAGGAACCTGCTGTAAAACAGCAATTATGCTGAGTCAGGCTTGATTTTTAGTAACCTTTTCCTGTTAAATCAAATCAAATCAATGTCAGGGAAACACCTTCCCATTGTGATCAAAATCCAGTGAGGCTTTTCATCAACACATAAATAGCTTTTATTTGTGAGATATAATAAACTTTCATTAAAATGAGCATATTTTATTGTGTTTGTGTCTGATGTGTGTGTTTGTGTCTGGCTGTAGGAGCTGGGTGTGGGAACCATCGAGCGCTGCAGAGGTTTTACCGCTGACCTCTTCAAACTTCTCCTGAAGCAGCGGCGCTGGCTGACCAAGCTCACTGATCAGTGGTTCTCCCTCAGGTCAGTCTGATTACAAGACAGAGGACAAACATCTGAAAACACTGAAGAATTTCACTGGAACTACAACTGGCTTCTTTGAGCCCAGGAGCATCACACTCATTTTCACACAGGGCCACATGACCTTAATGGTGCCACTTGTACAGTAATTAACTTTGATATTTCATGTTTAACTTTCAGCTAAACATGAAAGTCACGTTCCTCCTCTTCTTGTTTAGTTAAACACCACTAATTCCTGGTTTTAATTTGCTGACAGTGTCTGAGTGAAGACACCTGCCTTAACTTAATACTGCAAATCAAACAAAGACATTACTGAATAATTGTAAAAAGCAGCTGTCTGGACTGAAAGTATTCTCAACATGATCAATTGTAGCATCATTTCCAAAACAAGTCCAATTTTTGACACTCCCAGAAGATCAGAATCAGTTTTATTGCCGTTGTCAATGAATAGGATTCACAGATTAGGAGTTTGCTTCGGTGTAAAGATGCAATAAGTATAAAATATAAGAAATAAAGAAAATACAATTGATAAAGGAAAAATATAATAAAATATATAAAACACATGTTGTGTTGAATGCAGTAATCRGAGAAGATGAAATAGTTGGAGTGGTGCAGTTAGATCCAGTGTGACCAGAAAAACAAAGTCAGGTTTGTGCAATTTAAAATCCAGTGATAAAGTTATAAAGTCACATGAATCTAAATGTTCAAGAGTCCGACAGCAGAGGGGAAGAAACTGTTCTTATGGTGGGATGATCTGGTCTGAATGGACCAACCCTTCCACCGGAGGGGAGTTATAAGAACAGGCTGCAGGGTGAGAAGGGTCAGCTGTGATCCCACCTGCTCGCCTCACAGTCCTGGAGACCTACAGGTCATGGAGAGATGGGAGACTGCAGCCCATCACAGCAGAGCACACAACGCTCTGCAGTCTGTGTCTGTCCCTGCAGTGGACCCAACATACCACACTGTGATAGAGGAGCTGAGGATGACTCCATGATGGCCGTGTGACACCATCAGCCTGGCCGGCAGCTTAGATGAGGAAACTGATGGTTAAGAGTAGATGTGACTCGTCACATCTTTACTCAAACTAAACAATTCCTTGCTTTTTGACGCCACATTTTGATTATTAGATCATTCTGATTTTAAAGGGCCAATATTATGTGTTTCTCAGGCATATATTTAAATACTATACCATAATAAAGTATCCTTGTCATCTTTAGTTGTTATTAAAATGCTGAACAACAAACAAAAGAAAAAGACAAAGAAGCAGCCGAACTAGCAATCCTCAACAACTTTTTAATTTTTACACCAGGAGCCAAAGTTCTGTTTAAGGAACTCACATCCCCAGCAATCGGTGCTTGTAGGATTAAGCTGTACAAGGGTTCATACACCGCTAGTTGGCAGTGTTGTGCATATGTTGTATATGAATTGTTGCCAGCTAGTAAGTGTCAAATTGAACTTGTGCTTTAGAATTAGCTTCTGCTCATTTTCTGTGGCATAAGTGCTTTTGAAGTTGTGGACCTAAATATTTTTATAAACGCTTTGGAAATTGCGGAGCTAATTTTTGGATTAGCATTGCCCACTACTGAAAGTATCTATGTCACTTTTAGTTGTTATTAAAATGCTGTTTTTATGTTTAAATAGAAAATAAACTTATCTTCTCATCACTTCTTCTTCTGAACGCCTTGAAATTGGCCTCTGTCTCTTTAAGAACCTCCTCCTGCTCCTGTCCAATCACCGTCACCCGTCGGTCGGGGGGAGGGGGTCACGCGTGCATGGGGGTGGTTTGTTTCACGCGTGCACTATGATGCAGTTTACTTGGCATCTGAAAATACATTTCCTCAAAGGCATTTTGAATCTGAAAAGAACTTCACTGAGTGAGAAGTAGTGGATCTCAGCAAACAGCTAAGTTTCACTTTCACTTTGCTCTGTTACTGCCGAGAGCCTGCAGGAGTCATGGGCGGGGTGGGGAGTGTGGGGAGTGGGTGCGCTCTGCCATGAGGAAGTTCGGCTTAAAGACATGCCCCAGAGGTGTTTCTGGGTCCAAAAGTTGTTTCTGGTCCCCACCTGTCGTTTTGCTCCTCAGCTTGACTTCCTAAAAACACTGCAGGATTTCTCAAACATGCATGAATGAGTCAGAGCAAGGCTTTGGGCATGTTTTTTTATGATACTCAAAAAAGTTGATTTTACATGATATTGCCCCTTTAATGGTTCCAGACAGATGACTTGATTTGTCTTTATCAGGAAAATCTAATCCTGTTTGTGCATGATCTAATGAGGATTTCTTGATATTTGGAAGAGGTTACCTCAGACCATGTTTGGAAATCAGGATTTCCCAGCTGCTATTGAAAACTGTAAAATTAATTCTGTTTAAAATGGTAAACTTAATAAACACTTTTTCCTCAATGAATTAGGCTACGTTCACACTGCAGGTCTTAATGCTCAGTTTCGATTTTTTTTTAAAATCCGATCTTTGTGTGTGAACGTTCACA